TGATAGGTCAATTGAATGTTTGTTTGTGCTTTTAGGGAAAGGAGCAAGTAAGATTCTAATTTGTGTTGTATACTTACCTCCTAAATCTAACTTGGAACTTTATGAATCTTTTTGTAAAATAGTCGAAAATGTAATGGAGAAGACTTTATGTAATGATGTTGTAATTTGTGGTGATTTTAACATTCCAGGTGTGGAATGGGAAAATGATGAGTATGGGACTAGGGCGGTTGGTGTGATGTCACCACAGTGTAGAGTTCTTTCAGACTTTTTTGCATACCTAAATTTAAATCAGAAAAACACTATTGCTAATATTTTTGGTGCCTATTTGGATCTAATAGTGACTAATGTTCACTCTGTGAACGTTTCACGCATTTCTGAACCTCTACTACCCCTTGACAACTACCACCCGGCTCTGTCCTTCAGTATTCGTATCAGTCATTAATCTGAGACCTTAAACTCGTCGCATAAATATTTTGATTTTAAAAATTGTGATTACATCAATCTGAATAATTTTCTTGGTACTTTTGACTGGTCTCAGGTTCTGAGCTCAGATGATGTAAATACTGATGTGGACATATTTTATGAGATAGTGTATAATAGCTTCGAAATGTTTGTTCCAAAGAAAATATCAAAACGGCCAATATTTCCATCATGGTACAATAATTCTCTGAAGGAATGTATTCTTAGCAAAACGGCGGCTCATAAAATGTTTAAAGAATCGAACAATGTGAATGACTACAAATATTTCTCTGATTTACGAGCTGAATGCAAGCGCCTGTCTGAAGTTGCCTACCATGAACACATCACGAAAACTGAAAATTGCATTACCCAAAATAGTAAAGAATTTTGGAAATTTGTAAAGAAAAAAAATAACGCTTTTGATATCCCTAAAACCATGTTTTACAAGACTGAATCTTCTGATGATGGAAATATTACGGTAAACTATTTTAGTGACTTTTTTTCAACTGTTTATGGTGGTAATAATAATTGTGATACTTATAATTTTAATGTAGTTAGGTCGTTATCAATAAGTACTTGTGATTTTAATGAAATTGATGTCTACAATGCAATTGTTAGCCTTAAAGACCATTTGTCTGCAGGGCCTGATAACATAACTGGGATATTTTTGAAAAATTGTGTATGTATTTTGACCTTTATTTTAAACATTATTTTTTCTAAGTCAATGTTAACTGGTATCTATCCAGATGTGTGGAAAAAGTCATTTGTAACTCCTATATTTAAAGGTGGCGAAAAAAGTGATGTTACTAACTACAGGGCAATAAGCAAAATGTCTTTGATAGCAAAAGTTTTTGAGTTTATTATAGATTCTAAAATCAAGATTGCACTACAATCAATTTTAAATGAAAACCAACATGGCTTTATTGCTGGAAGATCCACCGTGAGTAACTTGCTTGTTTATGAGCATTTCTTGAATAGTTCTCTTGAAGGGGGTAACCAGGTGGATGCCATCTACACAGACTTTTCAAAGGCTTTAGGTTAGCCACACTCTGCTTTTGGGAAAGCTTGAGAGGTATGGTGTGTTTGGCAATCTCCTGCAATGGTTCCATAGTTATCTGACCAACAGAAAACAACAGGTGAAAATAGGCAGTTTTGTTTCTGAAGAGATATTGGTCCCCTCTGGCGTTCCGCAAGGTTCACATTTGGGTCCACTTTTATTTAATATTTTCATCAATGATGTAACAGAGTGCTTGATATGTTCCAAATGTCTTTTGTATGCAGACGACCTAAAGATTTTCAGAGTTATTGAAGATTTGATGATTGTTTGAGAATCCAAGAAGATTTAAATGCTTTGAGTGAATGGTGTAATACAAATGGAATGACATTAAACGACGATAAATGTTTTATTGTAAGGTTTTATAGATTGAAAGAATAACGAAGGAAGAGCTCTCTTCTGCGCTCAAATTGAGACGCACAACACGTGCCCCAGAATGGAAGGGCGTAACGCAAATGCGACTCAAAAAGAGCATAATATACCATCCTGCAAGTTGCCGAGTTAAGCTCCCTGGAAACAGATCTCAGTGCAAAACAGGCCGAACTTAATTTCTTTGCTAAGGCGTCGATATGCAGGTCCCACTTTAGAGATTTATCAACAACAACCCCAGGAATTTCACGGAATCAACGGCCTCCATGGTATTGTTATCCAGTACTACAGATTGGAGCGAAGCTCTGTAAGATAAAATTTTGGTTTTAGAGAGGTTGAGGCACAGGAGATTTGAGTCACACCATGATTTGATGGTGATTAAGTCACTAGATACGGTTCTATGGAGTTCCGTAATATCCGGGTTGCTCCAAGTGAAACTAGTATCGTCTGCGAAGAGACAAACTTTGCCGCTAATATCCAGACTAGCAATGTCGTTAATAAATAGCAGGAACAAAATAGGGCCAAGAACTGAACCCTGAGGCACACCACATTCAATTGGTTTACAAGAGGATTTTGAATTGGTGTTAATATGATGCTGGGGACTGTAGGTAACCGTTTTTTCACTGATTTAACTGATATGTCTATAGTCTATATGTTATATTGTTTGATTATTGTATTTTTGATGCTTATTTTTAGTATTAGTCCAATTTCTGTAAATGGCTGGTCCGTTAATAAACATTTATTTATTTATTTATTTATTTTATTTATTTATTTATTAATTGAGGTTGAAATGGTGTAGTTATATTACTACTGGAAATCAGTAATTATTTGGGGAATTTAGGAAATTATTCAAGAAATTTTAGAAATTATAGAAAATTCTTGAAAAAATTCTAAATATTCAGGAAATTTCGGAAATTATGGGCAATATCAGAAAAAAAATTCCAAAAAGGAAATAAGTGTACAAAATTCAAGAGCGTGAGACACCCCTCGAAGGTACCTTATCATGATTTAGATTTTTTGAAACTTTGAAAAGTCATAAAATTGAATTGAAAGTGGAATATTGGGTTCCATCATACTATACGGAAACACTAAAACTTACAAGTTCGATATACTTCTCCATAAAACCGTTTAGTTCCTCTTTAAGATGTTCAATTAAATGCGGAAAACATTAAATATTCTTATGAATAAATAAATTTACTGAAATTCATACAGGAAAATATTTGTCATTTAATTTACTAAGATTATTGATTTTATGTTTTTTTTTTTTAAGTTGAAAAAGTTTCTAAAATCAGATCATCTTTTTCTTTACGAGACCCAGAAAAAAATTACCTACTTTACTATTGATTCATTTTTTATTTATGTCATTATCGAAAAACAGAGCGATAGTGATATTAAACTGATAAGAATTGATATTATTCATTGATCTGTGTCAAAGGTTGAGAAGAGGATCGTCTGTTATAATTTTTATTCTATTTAGGCGGAGAGAATCATTTGGTACAGATTGATGAATCGGTAATTTCTGAAAGAAAATATAACACTGAAAAAACGGAATAATATATTCAATATGTCAAAAATCGATCCGCTGCGATTCTTTTACCGATTATAACAAAACATGCAAGGGTCGATAGTGAAATATGGACAGGCAATTGACGCGCTTATTCTCGATTAGTAGACTATGGTTACGTCCACCGAACTGTACAGTAAACCATACCAAATATTTCAAAGATCCCATTACAGAGGTCTGTACCAACCAGGTGGAAGGGTATTATTGGTCTGGCTTGAAAAAATATCTCAGAGCTATGGGTGTTATGCATTCAAAATATTTGCCACAATATATTGACCAATATAGATATGTGGAAGCAGATATATGGCAAAAATGCCATCCAACAAATGTATAACTTAACATTGCAAATTGGACAAAAATATTAAATAGTTTTTTATAGGATTATTAAGTTGATTAATTACATATTTTATTCCCTAAGTTTGTTTAGTTTTAGTGGTTCTTAATTCAACTTTTCCTTTTTTATATTATAATGTATAGATACAAATGGTTAATGCAACTTATTAGTAAGAAATATAAATAAAACCTCTAAGAAACTATGACTATGGTTTTTTTTATGTTTATTATTATTTAAGCTCAGGAGATATCACACAATGTGGCAACGTTGATTGCAACTTGCATTTTTATTTCGTTTAATGTCGTATTCGATTTATGAAATGGTCAATTTCCGTCAGTTTGAACTGAATTTTCTTGCAGAAAAATGAAAAAACCCGCATTTTTTTTTTCATAAAACTATTATTTGAGTTGTATATTTTAATGTAAAAGCTTCAAAAATGTCAAATTCGTGTTTCCGGATAGTGTGATGGACCCGAATATTGCCAGATTGTGCATTAAATTCAACTTTTGCCTAATAATTACTGGCTTTTGATTGGGATAGTTGATTGAAATGTTTCTATTTGACCCAATCAAGAGCCGGGAATAGCAACAAAATTGAATTTTCAAAATGAATAATAATTGGTGAAAAAGTTCTTCCTTTCAAGTAGTTTTGTATCAATTCAGATTTTGACTGAAAAGTAGGTAGGTAAATGCAGAATCAAAATATCAAATTTGCAACTATTATTTGTCTAATAAATAAATAAATAATAACAATGATTATAGGTAAAAAAAGTTTCCTTAAATAATGAATAACGAAGAAATAAAGGCAGGAATTAGCAATTAATCCAAAACATGAATTTTTCGCAACAATATCCATGGAGAAAATTAGTTACTTAAATTGGAAAATTTTTCTTGATTGTTTCACTAACAGACTAGTGCAGAAAAATTCACTTTCCGCACTTGTTGGGTAAATAGCTATTTAAGCATTACTGGGACGAATTTATTGGGGGCTGTCTGGCCTGAAACTAGCAGGTAGTAATGTTGTGAAGGTTGTTAGTCACCTTTTTTGAGGACAGGTTTCTCAATTCGACCGTTTCTCGAGACGGCGGTTTAACCTGTGACCGAAAAACGACCCATTTTGGACCATCTGCCCACTGCTCATGGTAATAATAAGTAATTAAAGAAATATTTTACTAATTAATTTTTATATGTGTTTTTTGATAAATGAATTCAATTTCTTACCCAGAGCTCCGTGCCCCAATTCATATTGTCCGTTATTGTGGCCATAATATAATCCTTGTGCCGTGTGAGCACTAAACACCAAAAATAAAAAATAAAAAAACACCGAAAAATAATCGAATTTTTACGGGAATACACTTTTTCCACGGACACTACCACTACCCAACATGGCTGGTCACCACACTTTTGAAGTTTTCCTTCAGTCGTGACGGATTCACCTAGAAAATTGAAATGAAACAGACTTATGGAAGGAAAAGAGATGGAACGCTTGTGACTGGTTGCGCCATCTAGGAGTTGTCGATTGAAAGTGCACATTGATTATGAAAATCTCTGCTTTTTCGTAGTTTGTCTACTGAATTAAATATATTGGTATCTCTTTCTTTAACAAGCTGTTGAAATGAGATGCAAATATACTCAGATCAATTAATGCAAAACAGTTTTTTGTGGTTTTTAAAATCACGGAAAAATATGGAAAATTGAAAAAGTCCATGATGAAAAAGTTGGTATTTACATTGATGCCAAGTGTAAGGTTTTTAAGATGCCGTATGTAATGTAATTCAATTTTCCTAAGCATTTTTCAATGAAAGTTCCTCTTTATTTTTATTGTAATAAATAGTGTCCCTCTCCCAAACATTACTAAACCCCTAAATACCAAAACCTCCATTTGACAACATTGCAAATAACGCTATTGAATCGGGGATTCCCAAAAACTAGGTAGGAATATAAAACTTATAGCAAATTCCATTCATAAAATCAGTGCAAAAAAAAATAAATATTTTTATCTCATTCTTATACAAGCTGATAGAAAAAGACACAAATACAGTCAATGCGCACTAACCCTTCCAATGAAATTCGCTATTAGAAGAGCATCTAACATTGGTTGCATCCTATTGGTCAATAGGTATTTGTACCTCATCATGGCGCAAAATTTTGAAAATGTCTTATTTTAACTATGGTGAACAACAATCTAAGGGCCGGTTTCTCAATAGCGAATCACCTCCAGGTTAGTTTCAACTCCAAGGTAAGCGTGTCCAGTTACTATGTTTACCCTGGAGTTATACTTGAAAAACCGGCCTTAAGTGAACAACCCATCTAGCTTTATAATATAAAAATGATGTTATAAATGAAATCAAATTTAAAGTAATAAAACTATATTTCTAATAATTAACTTTGGATTAAACAATCAGTACAAAACTATATTTAATAATACAAATACAATTTAGTCAAATAATTAATTAAAAAGAAGTTTCAAAAACAATAGGTTTGCCGTTTTCGTCAAATTGTCTAGGTTTTAGCACCAATTTTTTCTCTCCCTCACTATTTTCCATAGACACATCATTGGGACTATTACCATCTAATATGTACAACATTGAATCGGACATTTCTTCAACTGCCCGATTATCCCTAAAGCTATCATTGAATTCAGTGTAAGACTGAAAATCGTCAGAACGACTAGAAAAACTAGAATCAGTAGGACTATTATCGATAGTCAACATGTCTCTACTGTTCATGTAATTTTTAAAACTATGACTAAGTTTCTTAGGACTATCAGTTTTATTCAATTTAAGTGGTGTTGATTTATTGTCTTCATTTAAATCACCATCACTTTTTGATTTAACAAACAGTTTCTTTGAAGTTCCTGGATTATTAAACGAATCTTCTTCCATCAAATGTGTGAGTTTGGGACTCAATTTGGCGAGGTTGTTTATGTTGGTACCAGATACTAAAAGGACTGGCTTCCTGCTACGTGGAGTCATCATAGTTTCCTATTAAATTGAAATTTAAGGCATAATTTGCAAGCAAAATGAAACGCACCTGCATAGCTCTAGGCATTCGCTGTGTAGATCTTGTAATAGGTGACATGCTTCTTCTATTTTGCCCTTCAGGAGTAAAAACAGTATCTACACGGTTTAATAGGCAAGCAGGAGTGCTTGTTAGATAGTCTGGCAGTCCTGAGACGTTACCTAATTTGAAAATTATTTAAATTTATTGTTAATGATGATTGCTGAAATATATCCTCCACCCACATATATTAATCCAAAACAAAAAATCCCTACCTAATTCTAAATCAGAATCGCTTTTACTCCTGAAACGTTCCACAGAAGTATCCTGAATATTTTTTAGGCGTTTTTCAGGAGTTTCCTCCTCTGAGCTGCTGTCAAAATTATGACAAAACAGTCGTCCTCTAGAAGAGGTTTTTTGACCTAAATTAGGACTCTGAAATGGACATGAAGCATGCTTAAGCAACAAACAAAAAAAGCAGTAATGGTTTAAAGGCAATGAGCAGACAGATGATTATTAGCAGAGCTGTTGTGTTGTAAGTACCAAGTAAGAGTATTTGAGTAAGTATTGAGTACAAGTTTCTCTTTTTAAAATAAATCAAATATCAATACAAATAAATATAAGTCAAGTACAAATACCAAATTCCTCAAGTTTAGAAATTTACTTGAAAACTTTTCTGAAATTTGCAGTGGAGGACTACAATCCCTGAAAATTTCAGCTTATTTGCACTTACAGTTCCTGAGATAAAATCGTGTTAAGCAAATTGGGGTTATTTATCAATTTTTCAATTTTCCTGAGTGCCTTTTTTCATAGATTTCGGCTTCAAATCTGAGAATAATTTAGTTTATGGAATTCAGGGTATCACGAGGGACCATTAGGACACAAAATCTCGACAAAAAAAAATTTGAAATTTCATTGTTTTAGTAAGAAGGTACCCCCCTTAAGATTTTTTTGGAAAACTTTGAAAGGTCATAACTTTTTTTCTATTATAGATAGACAGCTGAATCTTTCACTGAATTTTCTCCCTTTCAAAAGACTACAATCCCTGAAAATTTCAGCTCATTTGCACTTATAGTTCCTGAGATAAAATCGTGTTAAGCAATTTAGGGTGGTTTATCAATTTTTCAATTTTTCTGAGTGCCTTTTTTCATAGATTTCGGCTTCAAATCTGAGAATAAATTATTGTATGGAGTTCGGGGTATGTTGATTGACCATTAGGATACATAATCTCGACAAAAAAAAATTTGAAATTTCATCGTTTTAGTAAGAAGGTACCCCCCTTATGATTTTTTTGGAAAACTTTGAAAGGTCATAACTTTTTTTCTATTATAGATAGAAAGCTGAATCTTTCACTGAATTTTATCCCTTTCAAAAGACTACAATACCTGAAAATTTCAGCTCATTCGAACTTATAGTTCCTGAGATAAAATCGTGTTAAGCAATTTAGGGTGATTTATCAATTTTTCAATTTTTCTGAGTGCCTTTTTTCATAGATTTCGGCTTCAAATCTGAGAATAAATTATTGTATGGAGTTCGGGGTATGTTGATTGACCATTAGGATACATAATCTCGACAAAAAAAAATTTGAAATTTCATCGTTTTAGTAAGAAGGTACCCCCCTTATGATTTTTTTGGAAAACTTTGAAAGGTCATAACTTTTTTTCTATTATAGATAGAAAGCTGAATCTTTCACTGAATTTTATCCCTTTCAAAAGACTACAATCCCTGAAAATTTCAGCTCATTGACACTTATAGTTCCTGAGATAAAATCGTGTTAAGCAATTTAGGGTGATTTATCAATTTTTCAATTTTTCTGAGTGCCTTTTTTCATAGATTTCGGCTTCAAATCTGAGAATAAATTATTGTATGGAGTTCGGGGTATGTTGATTGACCATTAGGATACATAATCTCGACAAAAAAAAATTTGAAATTTCATCGTTTTAGTAAGAAGGTACCCCCCTTATAATTTTTTGGAAAACTTTGAAAGGTCATAACTTTTTTTCTATTATAGATAGAAAGCTGAATCTTTCACTGAATTTTATCCCTTTCAAAAGACTACAATACCTGAAAATTTCAGCTCATTCGAACTTATAGTTCCTGAGATAAAATCGTGTTAAGCAATTTAGGGTGATTTATCAATTTTTCAATTTTTCTGAGTGCCTTTTTTCATAGATTTCGGCTTCAAATCTGAGAATAAATTATTGTATGGAGTTCGGGGTATGTTGATTGACCATTAGGATACATAATCTCGACAAAAAAAAATTTGAAATTTCATCGTTTTAGTAAGAAGGTACCCCCCTTATGATTTTTTTGGAAAACTTTGAAAGGTCATAACTTTTTTTCTATTATAGATAGAAAGCTGAATCTTTCACTGAATTTTATCCCTTTCAAAAGACTACAATACCTGAAAATTTCAGCTCATTCGAACTTATAGTTCCTGAGATAAAATCGTGTTAAGCAATTTAGGGTGATTTATCAATTTTTCAATTTTTCTGAGTGCCTTTTTTCATAGATTTCGGCTTCAAATCTGAGAATAAATTATTGTATGGAGTTCGGGGTATGTTGATTGACCATTAGGATACATAATCTCGACAAAAAAAAATTTGAAATTTCATCGTTTTAGTAAGAAGGTACCCCCCTTATGATTTTTTTGGAAAACTTTGAAAGGTCATAACTTTTTTTCTATTATAGATAGAAAGCTGAATCTTTCACTGAATTTTATCCCTTTCAAAAGACTACAATACCTGAAAATTTCAGCTCATTCGAACTTATAGTTCCTGAGATAAAATCGTGTTAAGCAATTTAGGGTGATTTATCAATTTTTCAATTTTTCTGAGTGCCTTTTTTCATAGATTTCGGCTTCAAATCTGAGAATAAATTATTGTATGGAGTTCGGGGTATGTTGATTGACCATTAGGATACATAATCTCGACAAAAAAAAATTTGAAATTTCATCGTTTTAGTAAGAAGGTACCCCCCTTATGATTTTTTTGGAAAACTTTGAAAGGTCATAACTTTTTTTCTATTATAGATAGAAAGCTGAATCTTTCACTGAATTTTATCCCTTTCAAAAGACTACAATCCCTGAAAATTTCAGCTCATTGACACTTATAGTTCCTGAGATAAAATCGTGTTAAGCAATTTAGGGTGATTTATCAATTTTTCAATTTTTCTGAGTGCCTTTTTTCATAGATTTCGGCTTCAAATCTGAGAATAAATTATTGTATGGAGTTCGGGGTATGTTGATTGACCATTAGGATACATAATCTCGACAAAAAAAAATTTGAAATTTCATCGTTTTAGTAAGAAGGTACCCCCCTTATGATTTTTTTGGAAAACTTTGAAAGGTCATAACTTTTTTTCTATTATAGATAGAAAGCTGAATCTTTCACTGAATTTTATCCCTTTCAAAAGACTACAATACCTGAAAATTTCAGCTCATTCGAACTTATAGTTCCTGAGATAAAATCGTGTTAAGCAATTTAGGGTGATTTATCATTTTTTCAATTTTTCTGAGTGCCTTTTTTCATAGATTTCGGCTTCAAATCTGAGAATAAATTATTGTATGGAGTTCGGGGTATGTTGATTGACCATTAGGATACATAATCTCGACAAAAAAAAATTTGAAATTTCATCGTTTTAGTAAGAAGGTACCCCCCTTATGATTTTTTTGGAAAACTTTGAAAGGTCATAACTTTTTTTCTATTATAGATAGAAAGCTGAATCTTTCACTGAATTTTATCCCTTTCAAAAGACTACAATACCTGAAAATTTCAGCTCATTCGAACTTATAGTTCCTGAGATAAAATCGTGTTAAGCAATTTAGGGTGATTTATCAATTTTTCAATTTTTCTGAGTGCCTTTTTTCATAGATTTCGGCTTCAAATCTGAGAATAAATTATTGTATGGAGTTCGGGGTATGTTGATTGACCATTAGGATACATAATCTCGACAAAAAAAAATTTGAAATTTCATCGTTTTAGTAAGAAGGTACCCCCCTTATGATTTTTTTGGAAAACTTTGAAAGGTCATAACTTTTTTTCTATTATAGATAGAAAGCTGAATCTTTCACTGAATTTTATCCCTTTCAAAAGACTACAATCCCTGAAAATTTCAGCTCATTGACACTTATAGTTCCTGAGATAAAATCGTGTTAAGCAATTTAGGGTGATTTATCAATTTTTCAATTTTTCTGAGTGCCTTTTTTCATAGATTTCGGCTTCAAATCTGAGAATAAATTATTGTATGGAGTTCGGGGTATGTTGATTGACCATTAGGATACATAATCTCGACAAAAAAAAATTTGAAATTTCATCGTTTTAGTAAGAAGGTACCCCCCTTATGATTTTTTTGGAAAACTTTGAAAGGTCATAACTTTTTTTCTATTATAGATAGAAAGCTGAATCTTTCACTGAATTTTATCCCTTTCAAAAGACTACAATACCTGAAAATTTCAGCTCATTCGCACTTATAGTTCCTGAGATAAAATCGTGTTAAGCAATTTAGGGTGATTTATCAATTTTTCAATTTTTCTGAGTGCCTTTTTTCATAGATTTCCGCTTCAAATCTGAGAATAAATTATTGTATGGAGTTCGGGGTATGTTGATTGACCATTAGGATACATAATCTCGACAAAAAAAAATTTGAAATTTCATCGTTTTAGTAAGAAGGTACCCCCCTTATGATTTTTTTGGAAAACTTTGAAAGGTCATAACTTTTTTTCTATTATAGATAGAAAGCTGAATCTTTCACTGAATTTTATCCCTTTCAAAAGACTACAATACCTGAAAATTTCAGCTCATTCGAACTTATAGTTCCTGAGATAAAATCGTGTTAAGCAATTTAGGGTGATTTATCAATTTTTCAATTTTTCTGAGTGCCTTTTTTCATAGATTTCGGCTTCAAATCTGAGAATAAATTATTGTATGGAGTTCGGGGTATGTTGATTGACCATTAGGATACATAATCTCGACAAAAAAAAATTTGAAATTTCATCGTTTTAGTAAGAAGGTACCCCCCTTATGATTTTTTTGGAAAACTTTGAAAGGTCATAACTTTTTTTCTATTATAGATAGAAAGCTGAATCTTTCACTGAATTTTATCCCTTTCAAAAGACTACAATACCTGAAAATTTCAGCTCATTCGAACTTATAGTTCCTGAGATAAAATCGTGTTAAGCAATTTAGGGTGATTTATCAATTTTTCAATTTTTCTGAGTGCCTTTTTTCATAGATTTCGGCTTCAAATCTGAGAATAAATTATTGTATGGAGTTCGGGGTATGTTGATTGACCATTAAAATACATAATCTCGACAAAAAAAAATTTGAAATTTCATCGTTTTAGTAAGAAGGTACCCCCCTTATGATTTTTTTGGAAAACTTTGAAAGGTCATAACTTTTTTTCTATTATAGATAGAAAGCTGAATCTTTCACTGA